ACACACTTAATATTATCAGCGTTCTGATGGCATTTTAGTCAAAGGATTTTTTATCAAAAACATAATTAATGTGCAGAAATAAGGAATAATTGTATTAACCATACATGGAAACATGGTTTTATGGGGCCCCCAGGAACTTGGGGCCCTATGCAGCTGCCTAGTATTGCCTATAATTTTAACAGCTGTTATTTATATGAAAGATTTAGATAAGTTCTTATCTACAATAAGAAAAAAATACTAAAGAAGAGCTATTCTCTATAGAGGCTTCTTTATATATTAGCTGCATCATTTTACAGTCAGAGGCTGACTGGAAATCTGCTATAAAACCTTTAAAAGTGCATTTCCAGAAACAGGCAATAAGCCATTCTGTGTTAAAAAAAAAAAATCACAAGATGTTTGAGGTCATTGCTGCTGCTTCTCAGCGCTGAAATCTGAGGGGAAGGATTAAAAAAATAAAAACATGGAAGATAGAGCGGAGCGTCAGAATGTTCGGTATGTCAGGGATGACGGCAGTAACGCCGGCAACGGTAAACACAATAAAGTTCTGCTCGTCTCCGAGGGAAGGACGACGATGACATTCATTATTTCTACCCTTAAAGCCAGATTTAACAAAAACATGAAGATCAGATGAATTCAATCAAATGATGGACTGACAGTTAATTGGGATCAGAACGAATCTGATTAATTCATTAATTAAGAAGGAAAGTAAAACAATAAATATAACAGTAATTCTAAAACGCTTCTGAAAAGACAAACATTGGACATGCTTTCAACACCGCTGGTAATAAAAGATAAGGATTAATTATTATTTTCATATCAATATCATCAAAATAGTTAGATTATTCAAATAATTTTTGTTATAACAATATATTATTTTATTCAACCAGAGAAATCCAATTGAGATTAAAAGTGAGTTTCTTTCTTAGTTAAAGAAAAACAGCAACCAAAAAAATTATAATCTTGACATTTAGTAGAGAGCTTCTGGTTTTAATGGGAGAAATGTTGACTGGGATGTTCAGGGCTGCTGGAATGAAGGACTGGATGTAAAACTTTGAATTGGTTGAAAATCTGCAGGTAATAATTTAACTTTCTTAAAATTGGAGTCTTGGCAGAAGTTCAACTGAATTAATTGATTCTCTCCTTCATCCGCCTCCGACGCCAACTAATGAGCTTTGAACCGCACCTCCACGGACGCATCCCTCCCAATCAGCATCCAGATTGCATCTGAAAAGGTCTCCAATCCACGTCTCTGTCTGCTATCCAGAGCGCAGGTCAATCGGTCCGACAGAAGACCGCCATGTTGAGCCTGGTTCTGCCAAAGATTTCTTTCCAACAGGGAGTTTTTTTCCTCTCCACTGTCGCTCCATGCTTGCTCATCATGGACAGGTTCTCTCAACCTGTGTTATCCAAACTGGACTTCCATCTTCCAGGTTCTTGAGTGGAGCTCTAGTATCAGCTCATGCAGTCTTTAAGGATCTCCCCATAAAGCTCAGCAGACCGTCTCGCTAACCAGCAGTCTACAGACTGACCAACCTAATCTATCTCCACTCCTCCATCAGTTTCGGGCCTGTGGGGAAATAGCCCTGTTCTTTACTCCTGTTCAAGCATATCACACAAAATTCAGCGCTAATATTTTCTGCCGAGGTCTGAGCGCCAAAGACTGAAGGAAATGAATCGATAAAATTTTTCCAATTGTCTTTTCTTTCAGTGAGTTTTTCAGATTGAACTGTCGATTCATAGATCAAGCTGAGGGTCCAGGAGTTATGAGGACTGTGGGCTTCAACGTGATCTCAAATGGAAATGTCTCTTTGTAAACCACACCTGAGGTCATTATTCGTTAAGTTTCTCAACATCTGATCAGGAAAAAGACATTCCAAAAGGAAGTCAGACATTTCTGATCCCCTCAGGGTGAAAGTTCATGGTTCTTTGCTGCCTGACCCGCAGAGCAGGACCCCAGCCTCCATCTGCATCTCCTTCCTCTTTAACCACGTGGTTTCTCTCATATCACAGAGTATCTGCTGGAGCAGCTCCCACATAAAGCACCTTGGGGGTGGGGGCAGCCGCACCCCCACTGCTGGTCGGCTGCTGCAGAAAGGACACTTCATGTCATGCAGCCTCTTTACAACAAAACCCTCCCAACAACAACGCTGCTTTTATGGGATCATGAGCAAAGTTAGCAGGAAATAAACTGATAAAAAAGTTCAAGCAGGGATTGAAAAGGTGGAATTAGGAGGATGATTTAGCAGTTGTTAAGGTTTACTGACCTGTGCAGTGCAGGAAGTGGAGCAGCTCTCAGCCCGTCTCTCTGTCTTCTCTCCAGCTCCCTGCTGGCTGCATCTGAACTTGGTCTGTCTGCTCCCCTGGAGGTAGAAGTGCAGGTAGTGCAGAGGAGGAAGTTTGTCTATCCTGCAGCCTCCTCTTCAAAATACTCTTTATTACGAGCAGAAAACTAAGCACTTCCCCTCACTGACATGTGAGAGGAGGAACTGTACCAGAGAGCAGCAGCAGCAGCTAAAGTCTGCTCCGTCATCTCATCCCCCTCCTGTTCAAATTTAGAGGCTGGATTTCAGTCAGCGAGGGGAGCTCTACTGGGCATGCCCACAACCAGGAGGCACATTTCAGTCATGAAGGATCACTTCCTACCCTGTTCTCCCCCCCTCCCTGACTGCTTACACCCCCCAGGAATGAGGGACCAAAGTCCACCTTGCAGGAAAATATCAATGAAACGACTTAAACAAAAAGGCAGGAAAAAAACAATAAAGTATTTCATTGCTTTTCATCTTTAATCCACTGTAAAAAAAAAATGTAAATCTAAATAAGTATTTTTTTTCTTAGAATAGCTGCATTGTTTTCTAGAATTGAGGTCAAGGACACACTTTGCCAATGAAACAAGAAAATTTGAATTTCAAATATGAAAAACAATTGTATTGTCTTACTTCAAGTGCATATTAACAAATCGTCTTAATTTAATTCTTATTTACACTTAATTTAAGAAATGTGTACTTATTTTGTTTAACACTTGTATTCATTTCTGTTGCTGATTAGCATTAGTTCATCAGACCCAAACATTCACCGCCTGACTTTATCATAAGCTTCATTAATGACAGATCTTCAACATGCTCAAAGGTTACCTGTGGAGTACCACAGGGATCAGTGCT